TCCCCATTGAGCACAGAGCCGGACCCAGGGCTCGATCCCAGGACCCTGGGATCATGACCCGAGCCAAAATCAAGAGTGGAACGCTTCACCAAATGAGCCACCCAGGCACCCCTTTCGTGACATTTTCTTTACCAGGAATTATGAAATCATTTTTTTAAAGTCTTTTAAATAATAGTTTGGCATTTGTTATTGGAGTAGACTCAGTATAACAGGCTCTGTAGACGTAGTGACCTCAGGAACACCAGTGATCATTGTGCTTTTAATCAAGTATTGTAGCTAAATATTAGTGAGCACAGTGTTTGGCTGGACAATAAGACTGAAGGCTCAGGTGGGGGACCAGAGGCCAAGCACCTGAGAAGATGTGTTTGACGGTTCAGAGAATAGGAAGCTTGGTTAGGCAGGTATGCAATTCAGGTCCAATACATGACGGTTATGCATTTGGGGGGAGTCCCTTATGAAAAATTAAGGATCTGGTTAGAAAAGAATCTCAAGAAAAGAATAAGCACAAGACCGTTAGGATATGCTTCAATACACAGCCACTGGTCAGATGGGGCTGTTAAGCTCCCATACGTGGTCAGTCCTAACCGGGATGTGCTGAGTGTCACAGAATCCTCAGATTTCCAAGACTGGGTACAAAATAAATAAATAAATACATAAATAAAAGAATGTCTCTCATTAATACTATTGATTACATGTTGAAATGGTAATATTTTGGGTCTATTGGTTTAAATTAACTACAATATAAAAATTAACTTCAAAAATAAATAATAAATAATAAAATAAAAATAAAAATTAACTTCACCAATCTCTTTACTCATTAAAAAATGTGGTCATAAAAAACTTTATATGATAGGCATAGTTCATATCACATTTCTATTACACAATGCTGGAGTAGAGAAAGAGTAGATATTATCTCCCAAGAAATCTGGTTATTTGTAGAAAAAAATTTGAATGATTCCACATTTATGAGACTTTTTTTAATGTATGGAGAAATTAGTGAGATTGTGTGAAAGTTATCAGATTGCACTATAATAGATTATAGGATATATAGATTTAAGATTATAAGATTATAATCTTATATATATAAGATTTATAATAGATAGATTTAAGGATACATTAGACCTGAACAATAGTAGAAAAATGACTATCCAGTAGCAATTTTTTTATTGTATTAGTAATTGTAATGTAATCTATGACTAGTGGTGGAATTATTCCAATTTTGTACAAAAACAAAACAAGATTGGATTTTCCCATGAGCTCACTCTTACTAAATTTACTATGTAACGGTGTTAAGGAGAATGTCCTCTGAAACATATTTAAGAGCAAAGAGATCCAGTAGAATTATAGCCAAGCCAGTAGAGTAACAAGGTAATGCACCTAACACAGAGCCAACACTCGATGAATACCTAAGAATTCACTATATTAATGACTGACGATATTATTATTCCTCGGTGAGTAAGAAATGTTTTCTGGACTTCTAGATTCATCCAGTCATTCGTTTATTCACTCACCTGGCAAATACCTTAGATGTCGATGGTGATTAGGAGAGGGATGGAATCAAAGCCATGGACCCATTTCCGGGGGGCGTCAGGGAGATTTGAAGGTGATTTTTTAAAAAGGTTTTATTTATTTATTTATTTTTATTTTTATTTTTATTTTTATTTTTATTTTTTTATTTACTTATTTATTATTTCTATTTATTATTTTTATATTTATTCATTTTTATTTTTATTATTTTATTTATTTATTTTTATTTAGTTCTATTTATTTATTTATCTTTATTTTTATATTTATTCATTTTTATTTTTTATTCATTTTTATTTATTTATTTTTATTTAGTTCTATTTATTTATTTATCTTTATTTTTATTTTTATTCATTTTTATTTATTTATTTTTATTTTGTATTTATTTATTCTTATTTATTTATTTATTTATATTTATATTTATTTATTTATCTTTATTTTTATTTATTTATATTTATCTATTTTATTTTATTATTTATTTATTTATTTATTTTATTATTTTTATTTATTTTTATATTTATTTGTTTGTTGGTTTACTTATTTATTTGCAAGAGAGAAGGAGATAGAGCACAAGCGGGGAGGAGAGGGAGAAGCACCTGCCCTTGTCAAGGGCTCCATCCCACCTGGGCTCCTGATGCCGCCTGAAGGCAGATGTTTCGCCGGCTGAGCCCCCAGGTGCCCCTTGGAGGTGATTTAGCAGACATGTAACCCACTAAAACATTAATTCAGAAGAGAAACAGGAGCTCGTATCAAGACCTGCCAACGTCATCTTGCTCCTGGTTCCAACAGCCGTTCCTTCACTCGCTTGAGTGGCTGAGACTGTATCTAAAACTGGATTCAGCTTGAACTTCTGGCCAAGTGTTCTGTGTGTATCTGTGTGCGTGTGCATCTCAAAAAGCATTTCCTTTTTTTATAATTTTTTTAAAGATTTTATTTATTTATCCATGAGAGACACAGTGAGAGAGGCAAAGACACAGGCAGAGGGAGAAGCAGGCTCCATGCAGGGAGCTCGACACGGGACTCGATCCTGGGACCCCAGAGCCCCCCAGGGGTCCCTAGAGAAGTGTTTCCGCTGGAACATACGACCTGCAGGAACCCGAACACAAGGTGAGCTGTCGAGAAGACCGTGCGTGAACTCCGCACGTCGGGTAAGCAGCTGGGCAGGAGGCCGGCTTGGAGGGTGGGAAGCCACGGCCCCCGTCTCCATTCTCCCGGAGCTCTGACCTTGGCCGCCAAATGGTCCTGATCCTGCCGCTCCGGGCCGCCGTCGTCAAGGGCCAGCACCTGTGCTGCAGGGAACAACTTCTCTTTAAAAGGAAGTGATCTTCCCTTTGCACGTCTTGGATTGGGATGAGCGTGCGTTCCCTTAGCGTTGTCCGACCTCCCTCCAAGAACCTTCATGTCCAGTCACTTATGACAGAACTTTTCCAGCGCCATGTGGTCTCCTCTGCCTCTCCGGCGGGGGCCGCCTCGTGTTCGAAGGGGGCTGACGGGGCTTCAGTGACCCGGCGAAACAGAACGTGACCCCCTCCAGTGCGAGATTCCAGAAGCAGCGCTGATGCTTATAGGGTCACGAGCGTGGCCAGCTCTGCGTTCTGGGTAAAGAAATTAGAAATGGAACTCACCATGCCTTTCCCAAAGCCAGTGTGCGTGTCCGCGTGTGCACACGTGCACACCATGCCTGGGCCCCGCTTGGATCTGGGGATGCATAATGATCCGGAGAAGCTACCTGGTGAGCAAGCAACCAGTTCTCTGCTCTCGGTCGTGCAAAGGCTTTCATTCCAGGGCAAAAATCTGTCTCCAGGGGGTAAGGCTTCCAGAATTTATTTTTCCAAAATTCTCGTTAGCTTCTGTTTTTAACCTGGAGTGGCTTTCAAGGAAGACGGATTCCCCCCTTTGATGCAAAGTCACGGGTCACCAGTAATAAATAAATAAATAAATAAAAAATAAATAAATAAATAAATATCAGTATTTGGAGAGAAAGAAGCTAACAAACAAAATAAAGATGAGACGTAATAGCAAATGTATTTTGAATTCGGACGTTGGAAGGAAAATAAGAACCATCGCCACAGACAGATGCTGAGGCCGAGTCCCCGCCGTCCGTACGCTCCAGCGTGTGCTGTTTGGCCACCTTGAGGTCTGACGGGGCCGCCCTTGCTGACACTTGCCCGGACCACAATACGGCCTCTGGATCAGGATCCTGAGATACCACGGGGCTTGGGAAAGGCCGCGCCTTCATCTGCATTTTGCCCAAGATCATGTTTCAGCTCTAATATTACCCAATTTTATGGGAGGGGAGTGGGGAGGAGAAAAAAAAGCAGTGAAAATGTGGGTTTCTGTGGAGCGGGAGCTGTGCTTCTGTGTTCACAGGCCCAGGAAGAAGTCGGGATGTTTCCTTCTCACTCCTTTCCGGGCACTGAGTGCGCGGAGGAGAGAATCCGGGAAGCCGGCGTTGCAGAGCTCTGGGACTCGGATGGGCCACTACCCGTCGGGGCCCCAGACGCTGGCGCCCGCTCGAGCTACCTCCACACGGAGCTGCGGCCCCAAACCTACAAGAGCCCCAACCGCGCCGCGCCCCCAGGACCCCCAGGAAATCTGCCAAAGCTGTGTTTGACGTGACTTTTTAAGTCAGAAGCCTCTTCTTGAGGACACAGTCGGTCAGCCTGAGACCCTGCAGGCGCGCAGGAAACCTGAGGCCCATGTGCCCTGCTCTAGTTCCAGGTGGGGTTTGGGCCTGGATGGTCTTCCTTCTCCTCTGGCCCCTGCTTCTACTTTGGGTTGTTTTCCTTTTTATGATTTTATTTATTTATTTGAGAGAGAGAGAGAGAGGGTGCAGGGTGGGGAGGGGCAGAGGGAGAAGGAGAAAGTCTCGAGCAGACTCCCCGCTGATTGCTGAGCACAACGTGGGCCTTGATCCCATGACCCTGCGGTCGTGACCTGCGCTGAGTGGGACGCCTTCCCTCTGCGCCCCCTGGGCACCCCTGCTTCTCCTTTGCTTTAAGCAGAGGTTCCCTGGTCGGGGTTTGGCACCGCACAGTCGCTGCCAGAGCCGACGGCAGGCCGAGTACCTCGGGCACGCGGGTCAGCCTCCCCGGCCACGTGGCTCCTTCTGGATCTGGCCTCGCCGCCTGGGCTTAGCCGCACTCAGGAACCTCCGTCCACGCTGCATGACCGACGTCGGTGCCGTGACCCACATGGCGCCATCCGACCCCCCCCCCCCCGCCCAGCGTTGACAGGGCCGATGCTACGGTTCCTGGTCGTGTCCAGGGGCCCCTGAGCCTGCTCCCCGACTGTGCGAGGCCCTGCACCCTCCCGCCAGGGCAGGCGCTCTGTGGGAATGGGCAGGAGTCCGTCTGACTGGTTCCGTGGCATGCTGCAGACCACTGTTTCCCAATCTGCAAGCACATCAGGGCACTCGGGGCGTCACCGAGACACCCTGGGCGGTGCCGCAGCCCCGGGTTTCCTCATTCCCGTGGGCTTCCTGCCTCTCCTCTCTCCAGCCTCTTCTAACTGTCGCTGCAGCCACATCTGGTTCTTCAGCCCGGCGCCACTTGCAAAAGCTTAGAGGTTCCCGAGCCTTAGGGAGTGTTGGGGGGCAGGGGCTGAGCAGGGTAAGCGGGAGCTCGGCCAGCACGGGGAGCGGGCGGGGCGGCTGCGGGCTCCGTGACCTGGGGCAGAGCGGAAACCTCCCCAAGCCTTGACTTTTGTTTTGCTTTGCTTTTCCATTGCCAAGGCGAGGATGATAGGACCCGCTCCGTGGAGTGTCTTTGAGATTGAAACAACACACCTGCGGCGTTAGGAACCTTCTCCACTCTTGCTCGGCACCAGCAGACGCTAGCTGTCGCCAGCGTTCAAAACCTTTTAAATCCTACGACATTTGCTGATGTAAAACTGTCTTCAACCAGACATCAATGCGCGGAAAGCTCTTTAAGATCTTCAAGAAGTAAAGCTCGAGATCTCTAGAAGTCAGTCATCAGTCTATCGCAGTGAAAGCTCTCTGACTTCGTCGGGTCGCCTGATCCTCAGTGGAACCCGGTAAGTTGATTGGTTAGGTTATTATTCTGGTTTTACCCACAAGGAAACCGAGAAACGGAGCTGCTCCGTGAGTTGCCTGGGGTCGGAGCGCCTGCCCGTGGCGAGGCTGGAGCTCTGAGCCCGTCACGGTGCTGTAACGGTCGCGGTTCAATGTGAGACACCCTCCCCCCAACCCCTCCCAGCCCCGGGTGTCCACGAGAGCAATAATCCCATCCCTGGAACCCGGGTGTCAGCCCGTCTGCAAGTTGTTCCTCTTCCCTCGGGGGAAGCCAAGGTGAGGGCAGGTACGTGACTGCACTGGCCACTGGGCCGCGGCTTGGACACCTGTCCTTGAGCATCCGGCGATTCGCAGGTGAGCAAAGACTCAACAGGCCTGAACCCCTGGGAGTGAAGGAAAACCCAGAGATGAGCCTCGGTCCTAGTGAGTGACGTGGCAAGAGTCAGATGCGGTGGAGGCTGCGGGAGGAGCAGCCTCACAGGCTCAGCCTCGGCCTGCGGCACCTGCTCCCCTCGGTGCTCCCCACCTGCTCCTGCGACGTCCGGCCAGCTTTCACCCTATTTTCATTTCTCAGTCAACGCTGATGTCTAAAAACTAATCTGTGATCGTTCAATGTCTTCTGTCAGGCATCCCCACGATGTGGTTGTTTTTTACAATGACCTGTTGTTTGATCTCCGGAACTCTAAATGCTGGCGGCTTCTTCAATCTGGAAAACGAAGCGAATCCTGAAGTGTGGATGAATATTGTAAGTCATCATGCAAAGTCCCAAAGGACATCGTGTAAGGCAAGTTTGTGGTCTCGTGAGAGCAGGAAAGAAATCTCAGATGAGGGACCAGATACGCCGTGGGCGACGATTGCTGGGCTCTGAGAGTCAAGCCAGGGACAGCCTCCCATTTGGCCAAATAAGCGACGCCTCCCAGTAACATAAAGCGAAACAGAAGGGGTGGACGGCCTCCTCTTTTGAATCTAGAGCTTAAACATGTTAAAAATCTGTATTTTTAAGCCCTTGGGATGATATGTATGACTGCCTTCTACCAAATGGAAAGGGGTCTTGGGAATGCGCGTGACCGCGCGGCTTTGCCAGAAGGCTAGGCCGACCCCGCACGCGGCCCCCCAACCCCAGACCTGCCCACAGCAGACAGCGGAGAATGTTCTGCTGATGCCGTGCCAGGGGTTTACGTAGCGAATCGACGGCACAGTTTCCGGGGCCACAGGTTTCAGATCAGTCACCCCAGGAGGCACGTGCGGCCCGGGTGCCGACCTGGAGAGGCGGCGCTGAGCTCACGTCTGTGTTTCCCCCGGGCAGAGCGAGATCATCACCTACAACGGCTACCCCAGCGAGGAGTATGAGGTCACCACGCAGGACGGGTACATCCTCAGCATCAACAGGATCCCGCACGGCCGGGCGGAGGCCGGGAGCACAGGTAGGCTTGTCCTCTGCAAGAAGGATGGCAGACGGGGGGGGGGGGGGGGGTGGCCGGCGGGCTGGTCCTCACACGGTGAGCAGGTCCGGTTCTCTGGAGCCAGGCAAGAACCCGACTTCGAGGGGTGGGGCATGTCCTGCTGACGGCGAGCAGGCCCAGGGCTCAGGGTGCGGAGGCCCAGGCCGGGCTCACGTTGCTCCCGTGCCTCACCAACTCCTCACGCGGAGCGTCCCCGCCTCCCGGAGCATGCACAGCCCCACTTGTGGGGAACGGCCGGCCGCCTGGCGTCTCCTGCACCTGCTCACACAGCAGGCCTCCCCCTGCAGGATGCAACACGTCACATTCAAAGGCCTTGACGTGTCTGCGACTCTTCTGGGGAAGAACCCTGCAACGCTCTCCTACATTTTCATCTGAGGGATGCAGGTTTGGGGGCAGGAACGAGCGTGGTGTCAGTAAGGCCTGGGTTCTGGGAGGAAGAGCTGGCCGTGCAAACACAGAGGAACTGCTGCTTATTTAGGGACACGTAACCACCACGCATGGGGTGAGGGAGCGAGACCAGCAGGCAGAGGAGCTGGGACGGCCAGGCGGCGCATCCCGCGCCCCGACCGCCGCACTGGCCCACGTGCAGGCAGCCGAATCTGCTGCTTGACGGGAAGAAACAGGATTTGATCCCGGAGTTTCAGGGAAAAAACTGAGAGTGGGATGGAGGTCGGGGCAGCCGAGGAAGCACGAGACGCCCGGGTGACGCTAGCAGGTCGGGTCCCTGTGCAGGCCCCACACGGCAACGCGCTTACACGGCCCGTGTTCGCCGTTTATCAGAAATTCAGATGAACAGGGCATCTCGCGTCTTCGGTTACTCTCGGTCTCCGTTTCACCTGTGTGGGACTTTGTCTCCCTTAAGAAATCTGGCGACACAGGGCCGGAGGGGAGGTGGCGGCTGGGAACCCTGGAAGGAGGGAGTTTTTCCAGGAAAGGTTTTACTTAAGGAGGGAGAGCTGTGGGGAGGCTCGGAAATAAGGCCCATCCCGTGTGTATTAAGCGAAGTATTCTAAGAGCTTTACGCTGATTCACGTCAGGGACCCTCTCAGCGTCCCCAGGACGTTGGTGTCTTGCCGGGGATGGACCGGGGCTCCATAACCGGCTTGGGGCCACACGCCTAGCAAGCGATGGAATTAGGATTCAAACTCAGCCTGGCTCCAGAGCCTGTCCCTTATGCCCCAAATTATGGTGCCCTTTTGGAAACATGCGCGCTGGTTCTCCTCACCTCCCTCAATCCCCTCTCCCGCGGGAATGGGGACTCCCGACAGTCGTCACGGGGATGCTGAACGGATCCTGGGGTTCCAAGGCGTCCCATGGGCAGAGGCCGGGGCCTGGGCTGGAAGCTCGGCCTGCAGAATGAGTCCGTCCTTGTCTACTTGCTCGCCCTTCCTCCCGCCGGGAAGGGGCGCGGGATTCGGTCGGACGCGATGGTCCCCGTGTCTCCGCGAGCAGACCCCAGACAGACGCAAAGGCGAGTGCTCCTCCTAGTACCCGCTTCGGGCTTGAGTCCTGCCCTGCACCTTGGAACAGGGCGGCCCTGGGAGGTTCCTAGCAGCTGTGAAGCGCTGTTGCTGCGTCCATTCAGCGGGGATCCTTCAAGGGGCAGCTCCGGGACACAGGAACCCTGAGGCTGTAGCAGGGCCCTGCGCGCCGAGACACCTGAGCCGCCTGCCCTCCCCCCGTCCCCCTCCTTCCAGGTTCCCGGCCCGTTGTCTACCTGCAGCACGCCTTGTTTGCCGACAACGCCTCCTGGCTTGAGAATTATGCCAACGGCAGCCTTGGGTTCCTTCTCGCAGACGCGGGTTACGACGTCTGGATGGGAAACAGTCGGGGGAACACTTGGTCGAGGAGACACAGAACGCTCTCAGCGACCGAGGAAAAATTCTGGGCCTTCAGGTAAACTGAATCTAAGACGCATCACGGGGAAAGTTGGAGACCGTTGCTTAGCGTGCATGACGCCAACGGTACCTCTCACCTCGGGAGTCACCTGGGTCCTTGCGGTTTCTACGAGGAGCTCCGAGCAGAGGCATAGCGGGAGGTCTGATTTCTCCGACCCTCCCACCAGCGGGTACATCGTGGTAACAGGGTGATTTTAACACCCGGTTCACCCCGGTAGGATGTGCAGGCACATCCCGCGGGATGGTTCCGGGGATTCCGTGACCAGGCGTGCACCCGTTGGCCAACGTGTGCTGAGCGTGTCCGCCGGGCGAGCACTCGAGCGTGAGCAAAGTACCTGGCCTTGCGAGGCCTGCATTCATCCTGCTGCTGCCGCGAGTCTCCTCCTGGCCAGCTGGTCAGCGTGCCGGCCCGGGTATTATGAGAAGCCCCGGTGGAGATGGTATCGGACGCCGTTTTCAGGGCAACTCCAGCATGAGGCCTTTAAAACCTCGCTCACGGGCCACGGAGAACCATCTTCTCACATGCTACCTGATTCTTTTTTTATTTTTAAGGTTTTATTTATTTACTTGACAGAGGATGAGAGACGGGGTGCATGAGCACAAGCAGCCAGAGCAACAGGCCAAGGGGGAGGGAGATGGAGAGGGAGAAGCAGGCTCCCTGCTGAGCACAGACCCTCACCATGCGGGGCCCCATCCCAGGACCTGGGGCCGGGACCCCATCCACAGGCAGACTGTTAACGGGGCCACCCAGGTGCCCGCTGCCACTGCTGCTGCTGCTAGTGAACACGGGGTCATGGAGGGCAGGCCTCCCCCACCCCCGCCCCTGCCCCCCCGCAAGGCTAAGGCCCTGTTTGCAAGCCTGCGCCGGCGCATTCCTGCCACACTGAGGGGGCACCCGGCTCCCACTGACAGGCTGGGTACGAAGGGGCGGTGAGGGTCAGAGCTTTCAGGCAGCGGCAAGCATCAGGGACTAGTTGATGCCACTGGCCTTCGGCCGGAGCTCGGGGCTTGTTTACTATAAGGCATCACAAGGATGCACTCACACTCGGGCACGTTGGCCCACGGATTTCCTCGCAGGTTCTTGTAACAAGGCGCCAGCACGGGGGGCCCGGCTCTACTAAACAGCACGTGGGTCTTTCTGTTGTCCTGCATGCTGCTGGCCGAGCTGCTGCTGTGCGGCCTGGTGCACGTGGGACAGATCTTGACAGCGGAGGAGGCATCGGTGACAGGTGCACCCGCTGTGGCGCCTGCCATTGGTCCCCATAGCTGCCCTGCCCCGGCGCAGGCTTCGTTAGAGACAAGCAAACTGGAGCTCAGGGCACTCGCTAATCTGCCACGAGTTCCTCGGCTGCAGTGGGTCACGATGGCTGAGTGCGAAACAGCCTGAAGATCTTGAGGTGGCCCGTGGGGGGGTTGCAGGAGAGGCGGGCAAGGCAGATGGGGACGGGCAGGGGGAGAAGGGAAGGAGGGGGCGGGACTGGCCTTGAGGCCACGCACGTGCCCGGAAACCAGTCCTGTCGCCTTCCAGCCTGCACATAACTGGGTGAATAACGAGGTGCACAGCGGTGACGGCCGCGGAACCCCGCAGGCAAGAAATAAAGTGACCACGTGCGGAGTTCTGACCTCGGGCGCCACGGTGTCCAAGCCCCCGTTTTATTTTGCAGTTTCGACGAGATGGCCAGATACGACCTCCCAGGAATAATAGACTTCATCGTAAACAAAACGGGGCAGCAGAAGCTGTACTTCATCGGACACTCCCTGGGCACCACGATAGGTATGTGCACAGACGGCAGTGTCTTGCGAGGGGCGGAGCCTCGCAGCGGGTCGCGCTCAGACGGCAGCAGAGTCGCCACCACGTAGTCTGCTCTCAGTTTCCCCATCCTGGGTGGGACACGTGCTGCAGCCCTACGGGGTGATGTCCTTGGATTCAAGGCGGCGTGTAGGCCGAGTCGCTCCTCCATTTCCGGTCACAGCAGCGCATTGGCCCCCGCCATGTGATCTCCACGTGCCCCAGATCCAAAGAAGTGTTCCCAGAGAGTGAGTTTCTAGGCCCCCTGCGCTGAGCTAGGAAGGTGAGGCCTCGTGACGTAAAATACCCCCGGAGAGTGATGAGCCCCTTCCTGCAAAACTGCACAAGAGTCTGCAAAAAGTGGACAGCATCGTCACGGCAGAGTCCCTACAGCCATTGCCATCGATGGCAGACGTGGATTTATCAGCGCTTGACAGCGACAGGCTGTTTCCACGTGGAACAGGCAGTGAGTGTCACAGGACATAAGCCGCAAAGGACATAAAAGATCTAGAGGGAGACAGACAGAAGCGTGCCACGGACGGGCAGCCACTCTCCTACCCTGGCCAACAGGCTCTGCACCGACGGAGCATCAGCGCAATTCTGTGGCGCCTTCCACCCCTGGAGGAGGAAACAGACACGCGGCACGGATGCAAGGCTGTTGGCATCACCGCTCAGGGCGGGTGCTGGGCCCGCGGCCGGGCAGGGATGGCCTGAGCGGCCCGAGAGGGGTGGGCAGGATGCCCGTGGGCTCCCACCCGGTCTGCAGAAAACAGGACACACCCGAGCAGCCTTCCTCCACACCGCCTGGGCCTGCGAGCGTCAGGGAGCTTCCTCCGCGCCCTGGGCAGAGCAACGTCTGTTACGTGGGCAGGACTCTCTGTGGGCAAGACGTCAGCAGCCCGGACTCCCACTGCCCACCAGTCCGCATGGGCACAGCAGGGCTTGGGTCTACACGCCTCCAAAGCTGTCCTAGGAGAAGTCCTCTAGCAGCTGCGCGGCCCTCAACACCATCAGTTTGCTTTCTGGCCGCGATGGTTTCAGTGGCTCTACAAGAACGTCAGAGAAAAGTCTGCTATGGCGGCATGCACACACCCGTGTACACCCCTGTGCACATGCACACCCCCACACACACACCCAGGCACACAGCCATGAACACTCCCATGCACACCCCCCATGCATGCCCCTTGCACGCCCCTGTGCACATCCCCATGCTCACCCCCTTGCATGTGCACTCTCCACACACACCTCCACGCACACACCGCCATGCACACCCCCATGCACACCCCCACGCACACACCTACGCACACCCCCATGCACACCCCCACGCATACCCCTGTGCACACCCACACACACCCTCGTGCACGCACACGCCTCCACACACACCCCTGTGCACACCCTCGTGCACACATATGCACACACGCACACAGTGGGGGGGCCCAGGAAGGCCTCTCAGGGAACCCAAATACACAGATGCCCCAGGTGCTTTCCCCTGCAGCGCACTGGTCTCCACCCCCATCCTCACAGGGCAGGAGGTGCATGCTCCGCTGTTGCTGGCAGGTGAGAGCAAGTGCAGGCAGCCTTGGCAGGACCAGCGAGGGAGGAGGGACACCAGCAGAGACTCTGGAGGGGAGCAAGCACGCCATGCAGCCCCGAGAGGGATGGCATCCCCTGCACTGTGAGGAAAATCAGTGGGGAGTAACTGGATGAGGCTGCACGAAGAGCTGATGAGTGCACCTCCGGGAGCCAATGGTTCGCTCCTGGGAGCTCTGTGCCGGTGCTGCGGGTGCCCTCGCGTGGGGGGAGGTGCCCCAGGGCCCCGGTGGCAGCCCCGCCGTGGGCCCTCCCTCCCCCAGCGACTTCATTGTCCAGAATTCAAGAAAAATGGACGCTTGAGAGCAAGGAGGAAGGAAGGCAGGTTGTCATTGCAGGGCAATGCAGAAGCGGGCCCCAGGTCACTCGCAGGGTCACAGCAACAGGACAAGATGCCACAGCACAGCCCCCTTTGGTCGGAGGGACGCTGCCTCGGTATTTCGGATTTTTACAGATCGTCTTGTCTCCTGTTCTCTTAGGATTTGTGGCCTTTTCCAGCATGCCTGAGCTGGCACGGAGAATCAGAATGAATTTTGCCCTGGGTCCGGTGGTCTCATTCAAATACCCCACGGGCATTTTTACCAGTTTTTTTCTACTTCCGAATTCCGTAATCAAGGTAGGCTCCTCATTTTCGCCAAAACCTATCTGAGGATCCCATTCTGGGTTGTCGACCCTTGTTATTTTAAGACCGATCACACAGTGAACATAGGAAAGTAGGAAATTCACGTGAAATCTGTAGAAACCAGATTCTGTGACCGCGTGCCGTGTGCGTCCTTGTGCGCGTGTGTGTCTGTACCCACGTGCATGGCCACAAGTCCCATAAACACGTCATTATCCTCAGCCGTGAACGGACCCAAGCGTCTAGCGGGTGCTGAACTGGTGCTGGGTCAGCGCAAAGTCTCCTCACAGGTTACCTGGCTTCCTTCTTGATCCCCCGGGCCGGTTGATTGGTCACAATGCCCAAGGGGAAGCACAATTTCTAAGCTCCGTGTGATCCCCGAGCTCTAGGACTCCAATGTCAGATAAGCCCGAATAACAGGGCCTCCCACCGGGGAGCTTGCTTTAGTTTCCAGAGACCTACATGCCTTCCAGCTCGATTATCCATCCAAGCATTGACCGGTTATTTTCCAAGGGTCAAAAAAGTATTTTGGTGGCCGACTGACCCATCGAAATTTTTTTTTGTATGTTTCTTTGCTTTATGTTTCTCTAACAACGCCATTGCCACAACGCACATGGTATTTTGGCCAAAATTGCCCCTTAAACTTGTCGGCTAAAATGGATTTGGGCCAAAATGAAGTCAAGGAGACCAATAAAGTTTTCACGGTGATTCGTATATAAAAGAAGGCCCTGCACTGAGGGGGACACTTGACAGGATGAGCACGGGGTGTTATTCTATAGGTTGGCAAATTGAACACCAATAAAAAATAAATTCATATAAATAAATAAACAGATAGATAGATAGATAGATAAATAAATAAATAAATAAATAAATAAATAAATAAATAAAAATAAATAAATAAATAAATAAATAAAACGAGGCCCTGGTTTAGGGTGACATGACAGGAATGAGAAGAAACATCATCTGTGAGCTGACGCCAGGGTGACTTTCTGTGGAGCCTGATGGTGGGTTTCAGCAATTCTGTGCCGTTTACTGCAAGCTCAGTGGGGCAGGCTCCCTTCTGTGTGGCTGATAGTCCTGTTGCAGTGTGTTGACATCAGCTGGTTTGGGACACTCTCCACATTGGAGCAGAGTCGAGCAGACAAATTAGTGACATTAAATCCTGGGTTGGACACATCTACCTCCAAGTGCATCATTTTGCATACGTACTGCTTTGCAGGCGGAGGTGGGGGCCGAGGCTTCTCTCGCTTTCACGGTCCCTGCTCCCCGATTTCCCACCTCCCTGAGCCCCAGTCCCTGATCCCTGCCACCACCACAGGTCTGGGGCCCCCGAAGCTCCAGTCCTCCCAGCAGAGACCCCACCCAAGCCCTGTAAGTCTGCACCGTGCCGCCTCCTGTGACATCCAGCATTTTCCGTCCAGAGTCCCGACCTTCAGGACGCCATGCTCCGCACTCCGGCTCGAGAGCTGGCTCTGGTGGGACGCGGCTGAAACGATGGTGTTTTCAGGAAAACCCCGCTCTCCCTTCCTAGTCAAGGCGGTGTTTGTCCTTAACGGGGAAATTGCTCTGGCTTTCTGGCCAATGAATGAGAAATCAGAATCATAGGGAGTTACTGATTGCACGTGACAGGGGAGCTTCACCGTGGAGAGTGGACTTGAGTCCAAGATCCTTAGGGCAGGGCCGTCTCTTCCAAATTGTGCTTGTTGATCTTCCCTGGATAGAGACGCCTTCCTAGCTCGTATCTCCCCCCCCTTCCCCAGGGACTTGTCTCCTTGATGGAAACAGCAAAGACAAATGCAAGTAGATGTCCAAGGACCCTCACTCCTGGGGGGGCAGGGAATGTCAACGGGTCCGAAAACAGCTCTTGAGACGCTAATTATTGTTTATTTTTACAGAGATTTTTCGGTACCAAAGGTTTCTTTCTAAAGACGGGGAAGGTACCTTCCATCAGAATCTGCAACAATAAAATATTGTGGGTGATTTGTAGTGAATTTATGTCCTTATGGGCCGGATCCAACAAGAAGAACATGAATACGGTACGTATGATGGTGATGGGAGCATCTGAGGCTTTAAGAGTTTCCAGCTTTCCTTTGACTCGCTTTGATGCAGCTGTTAGGCCGTGTAAACAAATGAGGTGTAGACACGCACGCTGTGCGTAGGTCGGGAATCCGATGGACCATGACTGTGAAGGGTGGGTTGGTGGCTTCATCCTTCCATCCTTTGTCATAGGTGCGGAAGCCGATGTCCCCGCGTGGGTGGGACTTCCACACGTTTACTCTCAGCCACCATTACGAGGGTCAGTTGGGTTTTACCACCAGCCTAGTGCATTAAAAAAAAAAAAAAAATCCCAGAAAAGAAAAAAAGTGCAGACAAGCATTGCACATATTTCCCACGGCCTCATGCGCTGGGGGGGACTTTGGCCTCTGATAAAACGCCTCACTTACCCTGGAAAGCAGGAGGCAGGATGGAGTGGAGACAGACGTTTCCCCACAAAAGAGGAGCAGGTGGGTTCATCAAGTCTCTGTCTCCCGTGGGGGGACTTCCGGGCGCAGGATGCGGGGTCTGCACCTGCTGAGCATTCCCCGGGGCGGCCCACTCGGCCCCAGATCCGCTTCTTCAAAAGCGGATCCTTTTAGCGGCTCCCTTGATCGCTTTTGCGCCACGGGAATCGAGGACGTGTCGCTTTTCTTCTGCAAGATCGTGTCATCTTCGCGAAAGCCGGACACGGGATGATCTTGGGGATGTTCGTTTAGCAGGCGAAAGTACGGACACGCGCGGGTGTCAGATCCCTGGGCCAAGGTGCTAAAGCTGGTCACTGACAGGGTCCTGTCCTGACGTCGTGGGGTCGCCCCACGGGTCGGGGACGGACGGCGTGCACCAGCTCCCCACGCGCCGGCCACACCTGCTCTCAGCCAGCCCGTTCGTTGCCCACATTCCGGCGCCTGGTGTGAATTGTGACTAACCTGGGGGCCTTTGCCTCGTCCTGTCCCGACCCCCAGCATTGGCCGCTGCACCTTCGCTCGGTCGCTCTCTGCTTCCCGCTCTGGGTAGCTGCTGCTATGCCACGTCTTCTTTCCCTTCAGAGCCGAATGGACGTGTACATGTCCCACGCGCCCACCGGATCGTCAATACAGAACATACTGCATATAAAACAGGTAGGGTCCTCGCCACGGGAGAGGCCGCCGATGTCAGCACCTCCGAACGGAGGGAGTCAGCAGCCCCACCCTCGGAGGCTGCGAGGCAGCTTCTAGGGTGTCTTTGTCACCATCTCTGGCTTGGTTTCCCCAAATTTTAAGGGAAAGGAGAAGGGATGGTGCAGACCAGGCAGGAGACATAGGTGAGCCCTCCGTTAAGGTCGGAGCTTGTCAAACAGACCCCGAGCTGAAGCAAGAGGTGACCCGGGAAGGCGTCAGATGGAAACTTCCCCAGAGAGCATCATCCCGCGGCTGAGGCCCCCCAAGGGGGTCTTGGTTTTTCTGTTAGCTGCTCCTCCAAACCAAGGGAGATGCCCCCCGCCACCCGATGGCCACGTGTGTCTGGTGGTAAAAGTGGATGCATGTCCCTCTGCTGATCCAGGGGCTCCGCTGCGTGGTGGTTGTCTAAGATCTGCTGTTAGCAACTGTGATTCTTACTCTGATGATTTTTGCAAAAAAAAAAAAAAAAAAACATGTATTTCAGCTTTATGGATCTGATGAATTCAGAGCTTATGACTGGGGAAGTGAAGCTGAGAACATGCATCACTACAATCAGGTGAGCTGGGGCTTTTGAGACATTATAATAAGGAATTATTGGAGAGTGGGGGGCACCTGGGGGGCTCCAGGGTTGAGCGTCTGCCCTCGGCTCAGGGCGTGACCCCAGGGTCCTGGGATCGAGTCCCACATCAGGCTCCCAGCATGGAGCCTGCTTCTCCCCCTGCCTGGGTCTCTGCCTCTCTCTGTGTGTCTCTCATGAATATAAATAAAATCTTTTTAAAAAAATAAATTATTGGACAGTGAAAAGAATCCTACCTGTAATTGGTGGCATTCTCATCGATCGATAGAGCTTTTTAAAAAATGACTAATTTAAATATGCACTCATTGTAAAAAAGAAAAATCTAAAAATAAGTAAAATAGAAACAAAAGAAGCATATCCTAAGGGACGTGAATAATTTATAATCCCTCCACCCAAAGCACACTGGGTGTATCAATATTTTACTGCATTTATTCCAATCTTCTCAGTGCGGCTGCTTTCGCACAATTTTTATTTTTTTAAATTTTTTTTTCTGCACAATTTTTAATCTTGCTTCTTCGCTTACAGTTACGGCAAGACCCAGCCATGCAACTGAGCTGGGTTTTAGCATGCTTTTGTTGACTGTGTAATAATGAAAATTGTTTTATGAAAATATATTAAAAAATGTACAGAGAAAATGAATATCTAGTTCTTGGCTCCAGCAGAAAAAAAAAAAAAGGCTCCCATGAAAATTAAAGGAATATTATGCACCCATGAAAAGTTGAGCTTTCAGCATCTTTTTTCCACTCTGATTTTTCACACCAGGATTTGTAGACTCTGCCTCCTGGGCCTGGGATTAATCTTGTTGCCACCATTTTTTCCCTCGAAGTCAGGAGCTGGGCTTCTCAATATGAACTGAGCACATTAAATTCACCTTTTCCATTGTTTTCCCAGGCGGGTACATGAGGTCAATTATTAATCCAAATATGGGTCAATTAAGTTGTTTCTGAGCATCAAATCAGCCAACCAGACCCGTCGATTTCTCACGAAGGGACTGAATTGTTAGACAAATAACTCTTCCAGCCCTTGAGACGACCGAGAGAACCAGGGATATTATTATCCTTTTTTACGCTTACGGTGCGATTTACATACAATAAAATGCCCTGATTTTCCAAATCGATGAGTTTCGAGAAAGACGGTGTTCGCGTGATGGTGCCACCGCCGGGACAGGGCCGTTGTCAGCCCCCGACAGGGTCCCCTGCCCCACACACCGGGCTGTTCACGGACACGTGTCCGCAAGCGCTCAGCTCGGGGCCTGGAGGAGAAAGGGAGAGAACAGCAGGCACAGCAAGGCCTGTTGGAGGGTTGCCGTCGGGAAGTGGAGGAGGCCGTCACTTCAGGAGGCGCGCACCCCCCTCGTGGCGAGCTGGGCCCACTTCCCGACACTTCCCGGCCCTTCCGTCCACGAGAGAGCGAGGCAAAGCATCCTACGCACACTTGGACCCGGGCGGTCAGCGTGTCCCCCGGCTCCGTGGAGGGAAGGACGGAGGTGCCTGGCATCCTGGCGGCCTGGGTGCCCGGGTCCCCACCGACCCTGCTCCGAGCAGGACTCGGTCACCAGAAGCTGCTCTCCATGATCTCCGTTATCTCCATGCTCTCCTGGCCCCGTGAGCCCCGAGGGGCAGCCTGTGCTGGGGCCAGGCCCTCCTCACCCGGCTGCGGACCTGGCACACCCGGGACCCTCGCCTGCTGCATGGCTGACATTCCCCATGTCCCTTCACGCGGTCCAAGAGCCCCCGGCCCGTCTCCTTCCTTCCTCTCCCAGAAAACGGAGGCCCGCGACTGTTCCGGTGTGCCTGCCACACCCCCGCCCCGCCGTCCTACCTCCCCTCACCCCTGCTGCTGCTTCTGAAACACGGGCACCTGCCGTCACCCTGCGAGTCCATCACGCGTCCCCCTTCACCCACCCTCTGCCTTTGATCAGCGTTCCTGATGCGTGCGGGGCCAAGGCGAGCGTCCCCACCTCCTGGGGGCCCCACACTGGGCCCCAGGGCTTCCTCTTTCCACTGCAGCTGCTTATGTGAGTCGCCGAACCCAGGGCCCGGCTCTCACCTGCAGGTGTTTGCCCTGGGGGTCCCCACGGCCCCCTCCCAGACCCCAACCCTCAACGTGGGGTGGCCATCCGCATCCCCAACCCAGACGTCCCCTTCTGGACGGCCTCCCTCATCCCCGCCCCACCGGCACGCGCTGCTTTCTGCTAATTGTCAGCCCGCCTCTGACACTTCTCCCTTGGAGGTCTTAAGCCACCCCAATGCCCGACGACGCCGATCGTCCCTTCTCCGGGCCACCGCCACGCCTGTCTACATTGTCCAGTGTCCGCCTCCAGCTGGCCCTTCCTCCCTCCGGCGTCCCGGGCTCACGGTCCTGCAGTCAACCCAAGACTGAGCTCTGAGAAAGACCCTGCCCCCTGCCCCCCACTTCCGAAGGATGTCCAAGCACCTGGGCCTGGGGTGTGGACCTTGCCTGTCTCCAATCCTAGATCGACACCGTCTGGCTCAGAGTTCCTTCCCTGGGTTCCCGGGACGCCCTGCCTTCCCGAGGGTGCTATTCATGCCTTTGCCACCTGCCGGGAAGCCCTCCCACCGCATCCCTATCCGGCAAAGTCCCACGGTCCCTCAAGGGTCATTTCGAGCGACTCCTCCGCACAGGAAGCCAGAAGTCGCTTCTTCTTAGCCCACCTCCCGTGGTTTGGGGGCAGCGTCCTGTGGCCCTTGACGCACACTGCTTTGTAGGCGAGTGTTTGTCGACCGCCCCCTTGAAGATAGGGACCATCGAAGGCGCTCTTTCTCCTTCCCTCGGGGCTCACCCGCGGCCTCCCCGGCTGCGTGGGAAGCCTTCTCTCACGGACGCTCCTTCTCTCTCCCGTAGAGCCGTCCCCCGCTCTACGACCTGAGTGCCATGAAGGTGCCTACTGCCATATGGGCCGGTGGCAATGACGTCCTTGTGACCCTCCAGGATGTGGCCAGGACAATCCCCCAAATCAGGAACCTCCGGTACTTTGACCTCTTGCCCGACTGGAACCACTTCGACTTCATCTGGGGCCTGGACGCACCGCGGCGAGTCTACAGTAAGATCATAGAGCTGATGCAGTCGGACTCCTGACGCGGTGCACCTGCTTCTCGGCTACAAGTCGTCAGCGAGCCCATGGAGGCCCCAGGAAGGGTCTGGTCAGCTGTGAGGTCTTCTCCTCACGGCCACGGAGGCTCCTCATCCACGGCCCAACCAGGAACTATCTCAACGGGGCTGCTCTTCATCCAAGAAAGGCGCCCCCGGAACCTCCAGGTCTCTTCCCCCCAGTCGGGGCCGATTTTTCGCCTGGGAGACAAGTTAAAAGGGGCCTTCTTCTTTTTTTCTTTTTTTTTAATAAATTTATTTTTTATTGGTGTTCAATTTACATACAGAATAACACCCAGTGCTCATCCCGTCAAGCGTCCCTCAGTGCCCATCACCCAGTCACCCCCACCCCCCCGCCCTCCTCCCCTTCCACCACCCCTTGTTCATTTCCCAGAGTTAGGAGTCTCTCATGGTCTGTCTCCCTTTCTGATATTTCCCACTCATTTTTTCTCCTTTCAAAAAGGGCCTTTTTCTTCCCTAATTAGGAATATTCTTACAAGGCAAGACTTTGTAGAGGCAGCCGTGCGGGACTATCCTGTGGGTGGTTGCGGTCACAGGGCTAGCCCGGGGGTCACGACGGCGTGAGTGAGCACTGGCCCACGTTGGCCGCAGGAGGAAACCGCACGCTGGAGAACTTCACTGAGTTTCCGTATTCCGGAAATTCCAGGAAAAAAAAAAAAACAGAGAGAGAGAGAAAATTGGGACTGTTAGGGAGCCTGTGATCATTCTTCAGTTACAACACGCGGGATGTAATTCTCTTATTTTGCTCTAAAGATAAGTTACTCTGATCGCCCGCCGTGTCTTCATTGGTCGAAGTGGAACCCACGCCCGGGCTCGCACCCCGGCGACACTTAAAGTAGCTCCCAGAAAGCCTGTTTTAGAAGCAGCAAGGAAGGCACCAGGAATAGTCCAAGCCTCGCCCCATCTCATGCCCTCAACGAGGCCAGACCACAACCCCCGGGCTCAGTACAGGCCTCCCAGCACGGTGCCCCGTGTGCATCCCGGACTCGCGAGTGCTGCCAACTTGCAAACCTTCTTTACCATCTCTATAGACACAGCAGGTGCATCCTTCTTTAATGGAGAATGTTCGTGATCCTCAAGGAATCATCAGGAAACGATACACGCATGAACCTCCCACAGCTAATCCTAAACAGGGAGAATCTAAACCAGCTCCCGAATGTTTGCATGGAGGACGAGGGTCTTTTGGATGTCAAACACCACACTACCATTCTTCAATAGATAATCCATATTTCATCGTTTTTTGTTTTGTTTTGTTTTGTTTTAACCTCAGTTTTAGTCTTTAAAAGGAAGGACAGGGGGATCCCTGGTTGGCGCAGCGGTTTGGCACCTGCCTTTGGCCCAGGGCATGATCCTGGTGACCCGGGATCGAATCCCACGTCAGGCTCCCGATGCATGGAGCCTGCTTCTCCCTCTGCCTGTGTCTCTGCCTCTCTCTCTCTCGCTGTGACTATCATAAATAATAATAAAAAAAAGAATCTAAAAAAAAAAGAATCTAAAAAAATAGAATCGAGTCCCGCATCAGGCTCCTGAGAAGAACCTGCTTCTCCCTCTGCCTGTGTCTCTGCTTCTCTCTCTCTGTCTCTCATGAATAAATAAATAATTATTTTAAAAAAAGGAAAGACAGTTTTAAAACACTTGGGAAGCAATTTCAGGTGCACATCTTTCCATATTTGTATACTTTTTATGTAACGAGATTAGACTGATTTTTATCAGTTTCAGGGGACTTTTATGGAGTTCTTCTCAAGAGTAAAATGTAGTTTTCGTACAAACAGTACAGCCTTGTAAAGTCACGTTTAACCAAATTAATAAAAATGCATTAAATAATTTATTGTTGGGGGTACCTGGGGGGCTCTGTGGTTGGGCGTCCACCTTTGGCCCAGGGCGTGACCCCGGGGTACCGGGATCGAGTCCCGCGTCGGGCTCCCTGCATGGAGCCTGCTTCTCCCTCTGCCTGTGCCCTCTGTCTCTGCCTCTCTCTCTGGGTCTCTCATGAATAAATAAATAAAATCTTAAAAAAAAAAAGGAACAGAACAGATGGATGAACACAGTCATAACGCGTCTGGTGACCTTCAAACCACACCAGTGGCCGCCGATGACGACTTCTGCGTGACGTCCACCGCAGGTCTCTCAGTCCAAGGCCTCGAGTGGAGCTCATCGCTCTCTCTAAATCAGGCCCCGTGTGCACGATGCCTCGTCTCCTGTGACATGTGGAGCTTGGAGTGTCGTGGCTGTGCCTGTCCCCAAAATGGGAGAACCTGGGTGCTTCAGGTATGAGGCAATGTTTGGGTTTCCATGGGAAGGCAGTGAATGCAACTTTATCAACGTAACACTGGGCCGTAAAGAGAACTCCTGTAATTCATCTTGGAATATTAGAGACGCCTTACCTCTAGGTTGAAACTATCAAAAATCTTGCTCCCTATTCCCTAAGAGATCTCCCAGTGCTATTGATTCTTGGTTCCCTGCGTGACCCCTTCCTCCCTCCGCTGGAGAAGCTCCCAGGAGGCAGCTGCTGTGTCACTGCGTCCCCCACCTCGCACATCCCCAGCCCTCGTGGAGCGGCGCTCACACACGTCAGAACATCAAAGTGTTAGAAAACAAAATTAATCGTCTAAAAAACTGCCAATAGTAAAGAGCGCAAGGGCTCCTGGGGGCTCCATCGGTGAGGTGTCTGCCTTGGGCTCGGGTCACGATGTCAGGTCCTGGGACAGAGCCGGATGCTGGAGCCGACTCTCTCTCCATGTAACTCCTACTCTCAGTCTCTCTCTCTCAAATAATCCTTAAAAAAAAAAAAGAGTATTGACGTGGTGATAAGACTGACTTTTGGCAGCAGAAAAGCTATACTTTCAGGACCACTCTCAACACCGTGTCCCAAGGTGGACGGACTCAGAGCTCCGGGGGAGGACAATGGGGTTTCTTTCCCAGGCCGGGCCCCGTGGCCTCCTCGTCACATTCACAGACGTCCCTGCCCGGGGCCTCCTGCGGGTCTCGGCCAGCGGTGGGATAGATGGAGTGAAAATGAGTCCTGACCCCTGTGGCATCCCCGTCTCCTTGCCTTACAGCCGCCAGTGGGAAACCTCAGGGGTGAGCTGAGATTCCCTTAGGGTCTTACCTTCTTAAGCCTGGGGCTGCTGTGGCAACGGGGCCCAGGATGTGCCACTGCAACAGTTCCCCGCCTCTGCTGGGCGGTCCCGGATGTCCTTCCTCCCCGCTTTCTTCGGAGACCTCGGTCCTGCGGGGCCCCGGGGTGAGCGGGCTCTCGGCCACGAGGGGCTCTACAGGCCACGCCCTCACCACCGCCACCGCTCAACTTCACTGCAGAATCGATTTCACTTTAGGGTCATTTTAGAATCGGAGGGGAGGCTTGGCTTGGTTGTTCAGCCAGCAGCACCCCCTTTACGGGTTTCTCTGAGGGGCCTTATCAGTTCGCACAACTGACACACCAGGCACCATCGGCGATCAAGTGGGAGACGGCGGGGAGACAGGCGGAGGTGGCGTCCGAACGCCCAGGGTTCCCGCCTTCACCCTAAGAGCCACAATGACCCCCGGGGGATTGTTCCCTGACGCAAGCGCAAGCCCTATACTTTGAAAAGATCATGCCAGCTTTTGGGCAGAGAATGGGATGCAGGGGACCAACCGAGGATTGCGGGCAAATCCGTAAATCTGACCAAGGCCCGCAGAGCACGGGGTTCTCCAGACAGACAATTCCCGGGCCGGCCGCCACCAGATCTAGAGTAGCCCCCTGCACCCCCTGGAGTAGCCCCCTGCATCCCCAGAGTAGTCCCCTGCACCCCCTGCACTCCTTGGAGTAGCCCCCTGCACCCCCTGCACCCCCGGAGTAGCCCCCTGCACCCCTCGGAGTCACCCCCTGCACCCCCCAGAGTCACCCCCTGCACCCTCCGGAGTAGCCTCCTGCACCCCCCAGAGTAGCCCTCTGCACCCCCTGCACCCTCTGCACACCCCACCCCCGCGCACCCACAGGCCGATGGCGCTTGGAGCCGCTCTGCCCCCAGACTAGCACCCACCAAGCTGTAGGCGTCGCAGGAGAGGTGGGAGGCGAGGACGGCCGGCAGCGACGGGGACGACACTGTGCTGGAGCGATAGGCGAGGAGCCGCAGACAAAGACGTGCGCGTCCGTGGCAGTGAGCACACACACCTATCAGTAGGCACAGACGTGCCTTTATTGAATATAAAACCGAAACAACATAATGGGTCCGGGTAGAAACATGATGAGTGACTCATTCTATTCTTTTTACTTTTTTTTTTTTTTTTGGAACAATATAATTGTGACAACTGGAAGTCTGCTAAGAGGGCAGGTCTGGTCTTAAGAGTTCTCACCACGGTAAAAGTCACCAAGCTGTACCTTTGCCGTGTGTGCATTTTTCTATTCTGTGTGTTACATTGCAATAAAAAAGTATGGTTTAAATACTCTACGCTCTTCCGCTTTAAATCGACAAGCTGCAAAGTATGGGAAAACAGTTTTTACCAATACTACTACTTTGATATTTTGTGCTCTGTAGCTGGTAGCAAATACATTGACTATTACAGGGTCTAAGGAATAGTTTACTTTTTTACTAAGAGTTTTACGGGAAATAGCTCATTTAAAACTTAGAAGGCTACGGGATGGAACTATGGTCACATGAGGCATAGAGAAAAATGAGACATAAAAGCCAAATTTTCCTAAGATTGCACAGGTGAAGGAGTTGTGCTTTTATTTATGTATTTATT